CCTCCAAACTTCATGTGGCCTTCAGATTAGCTCAAGAACAGTGCGCAGAGAGCTTCATGGAATGGGTTTCCATGGTCGAGCAGCTGCATCCAAGCCATACATCACCAAGTGCAATGCAAAGCGTCGGATGCGGTGGTGTAAAGCACGCCGCCACTGGACTCTAGAGCAGTGGAGACGCGTTCTCTGGAGTGACGAATCGCGCTTCTCCATCTGGCAATCTGATGGACGGGTCTGGGTTTGGCGGTTGCCAGGAGAACGGTACTTGTCTGACTGCATTGTGCCAAGTGTAAAGTTTGGTGGAGGGGGGATTATGGTGTGGGGTTGTTTTTCAGGAGCTGGGCTTGGCCCCTTAGTTCCAGTGAAAGGAACTCTGAATGCTTCAGCATACCAAGACATTTTGGACAATTCCATGCTCCCAACTTTGTGGGAACAGTTTGGAGCTGGCCCCTTCCTCTTCCAACATGACTGTGCACCAGTGCACAAAGCAAGGTCCATAAAGACATGGATGACAGAGTCTGGTGTGGATGAACTTGACTGGCCTGCACAGAGTCCTGACCTCAACCCGATAGAACACCTTTGGGATGAATTAGAGCGGAGACTGAGAGCCAGGCCTTCTCGTCCAACATCAGTGTGCGACCTCACAAATGCGCTTCTGGAAGAATGGTCAAAAATTCCCATAAACACACTCCTAAACCTTGTGGACAGCCTTCCCAGAAGAGTTGAAGCTGTTCTAGCTGCAAAGGGTGGACCGACGTCATATTGAACCCTATGGATTAGGAACGGGATGTCACTTAAGCTCATATGTGAGTCAAGGCAGGTGAGCAAATACTTTTGGCAATATAGTGTAAGTTACACCTTTAGCAGACTTAATAAGATTCTGCGTGCTTAACTGACAACAGTTATTACAAGAATTGATAAATAATTTAATTTTATTGATCTCCCATTGGAGAAATTTATCTCTGCATTTAACTTATCCCGTTAGGGAGCAGTGAGCTGCCATCTTGGGGCACCCATGGAGCAATCAGGGGTTAAAGGTCTTGCTCAGACACCCAGAGTGGCAGTCTGTGGGTTTCAAACCCACAACCTCAGGATTCTAAGCTCTATATCCTAAAAAATAGGCCGCTGCTCCCCTCATGTTACTCAGTTACTCATGTAAATGAGTAAATGTAAGTGGCTACCAGATCCAAAGTGGAACTTCTAAATGGCAAACATTACTTCCAGACAAAATAATCTTGATTTTAAATTAAAATATAAAATTAAATCAATACCTACACATGGTATAAATAATTTGTTGCTTATGCATGGGTGATGTGCAGAGCCATTTTGATAGGTTATTTATTTGTGTGTCCCATTTTGTTAACATAAAAAGAAAACATATTGAATCACAGCATGATTTATGCTAGGGAACAAAACCTAATGTTTAAAATATTTCATGCATGTAGGTCACAAACCAGAGAGAAATACTAAAAAAAGCAAAAAGAATCTCCTTTTTAGTTGTTTTTATATCTCTGCTACTGTGAACTCATAAGTGTTACAACACTGACATTAATAAATGATGACAGTTTGTAGCCCCGTTATTGTCTAACCCTATGCATAGTGTTTGTCCCAAAAAAATGTGAGTAATATCCTTGAAAGGCCACAAATGAATCACAAAGTAGTTCAGTACTCCAGGCTTATATTTCTCTTTGTGCAGTAATAACAAGTCCAAGAGTCTGGAGTCTGGCTTAAAGCTTTATGAGGCTGTAGTTAAGCATCAGTGTCGGTACCTGTTTAACCCGGGCAGTGATGGGACTAACGGCGTTGAAAGTAACGGCGTTACTAACGCCGTTACCTTGTTTTAGTAACGAGTAATCTAACTAATTACTTTGAGTGTAACTATAACGCAGTTACCATTGCAGACACCCCGTTACTGCGCGTTACTCAGGTCGCACAATGAACCTTTTTTCATGATAGGACTCGTGCGCAGCTGCGTGAAGCTGACACCCCACCCACGTCAAAAAACTCTGCAAATAGACTTAATGGTTAGTGCAACGTTAGTGCAGATTTGTGCAGAAAAAAATATTGTTTGTGCTACTTTTATTTAAGAGATATTAAAGATTGTTTTTTAGGTCCTCCAGAGGTGCGCGCCTTGTCATGAGAGAGGGGAGGATGAGAATGGCTGATGTATGATGAGATTCCGTCTGTCAGTTGGGGAGGTGGGTGTTTCTGCTGGCGGGTGTTAACGTACAGCACACACAGAGAGATGGAGAGTGAGGATGACTCCAGCAGCAAAACAGCGTTTTCCAGATGGAAATACCGGTGTTACGCCGAGCTGCGTTTCCCCATCACATACGGTTTCCCCTGCATCTCCACACAGCGCAGGCGGCACGAGTCACCGCGCAAGCGACAGGAAACGCGCATGCTAGCTAAAGGAGCGCAATAGTCGCCCTGTGCTCGCGCCACAGGAGAACTATGGAGAGCGTGAACGATCAAATGAACCTGACAACAGCCAGAAATGATAGCCTATATGGAGAAAGGGAGAAATATGGATGGATGGATGGATGGATGGATGGATGGATGGATGGATGGATGGATGGATGGATGGATGGATGGATGGATGGATGGATGGATGGATGGATGGATGGATGGATACTCTGCCTTTTCAACCTACTGTATTTTTTATTTTAAACATTATTTGATGGCCTTTGTGGCAGGGATGGAGATCCATATTTTATGTCACACACAGAGTATACATCTAGATAGATAGATGGATAGATAGATGTTGCAGTATCTATAACAACCCAAACACACAGGATTTCAGAATTACACACCCCCAGTTATTAATTTCACCAGATCTGAATGCCCTGTTAAAAAACTTCACATGGCGTTCCCCCCTGATGTCATTTACGTTGAGTTGCAATAAATGCTAAACTCTCTGCAGGTTCTTGTCTTTGTCGTCCGCTCTATTCAGCTGGCTTTGGAAACACACGGCGAGAAGGTGGGGGCTGGGTGGTGAGGGTTACAGGGGCGAGAAACGTAAAAGTAACGCAATAGTTACTTTTACTAGTAACTAGTTACTTTTATTGTGGAGTAACTCAGTTAGTAACTCAGTTACTTTTTAGGAGAAGTAACTAGTAACTATAACTAATTACTTTTTCAAAGTAACGTGCCCAACACTGAACCCGGGTGATAAAGGGGTAATCAGTGGTGGAACAATGTTCTTTATCACTTTACAAAATTTACACTTTACAAAATTTCATTGTAAAGCAAACTGAGAAATGTAGATAAAAGGGGTCAAAATGTGGCTTTAATATGGCAGGTTAAAGTGTTGTTACATTACACTTTGCATTTTATTTAAATAAACCAAAGAGCAGAAACAGCAACTTAATGATTTTTTTTAAATTATGTTTTAAAAAATGCTATTGCCTGTTTACTGTTTGTGTAAGTTTTATTTCATAATCCTTTCTTAGTTTTGCTACTCTGGGCCATTTTTCCCAACAGACCACACATGCAGATCTCATACATTTTCCTTCTCAAATTTCTCCAGTTTGTCTATACAAACAGAATCAAACTGAGCTCTGTGATTGGATGCCCTTTGGACTCAGTATAGGAGGTGGGAAACAAAAAGACCTTAACAAAACATCTCTGCTGAATAATATCCAGCACCCCGTGCACAAAGCTGTTGCAGAACTGGAGAGCTCCTTCAGTGACAGACTGCTGCACCCTAAATGCCCCAGGGAGCGTTATCACAGATCCTTCCTCCCAGCAGCGTAAGACACTGTTCTCAACAACCTCAATAAGTTGTAACAATCATGCCGATTTTTGCAGTTTCTGTGTTAGTCAGTTAAACATGCTGCTGTCAGATGTCAGATGCTGTCACATCTCTGGTGTTGCTGCTATTTTTCCCCCACTTGCACTACGGTAGAAACTATTTTAAAAAATTACTATAATTATTAATTCTCCAGATGCACAGCATTTATATTGTAAAAACACTGTACAGTACAGTATTTTAATTTGTTTATTTTCATAAATCTGTCACGTATTGTGTTGTTTTTATACACTTTTTTAAGGTCCGCATTTGTGTGACCACTTCTGCTATAATCTTTTGCTGCTGCTGCAGTAACACCACAATTTCCCTTTTGTCCCACAATGTGGGACAAAAGGGATTTTCTGTTCTAATTATTAAATAAATTATTATAAAACTGAAAAAAAAATCACTTTTGCAAATATCTTTATAAAGCCCATATTAAGATATTAAGGAAAAAACTAACCTAGTAAAAAACGTAAAGGAAGGAAGGAAGGAAGGAAGGAAGGAAGGAAGGAAGGAAGGAAGGAAGGAAGGAAGGAAGGAAGGAAGGAAGGAAGGAAGGAAGGAAGGAAGGAAGGAAGGAAGGAAGGAAGGAAGGAAGGAAGGAAGGAAGGAAGGAAGGAAGGAAGGAAGGGTAAACTATTGGTATTCCAGGCTTTGTCAAACTCTTTCAGACTGCTTATAAACTCTGGTATTAATAAACAATATGTTACAGAAAAAAATTTTGATTCTTCTTCCTAATAATTACAGACTTTTATTCTCTATGTCTACTTCTTGAGAAAGTACTGATCAGTGAAACTAAGAGATGGCAGGACAACATCTTAACTGTTTTCTCTAGTCAGTGAGTGTAAGATGGATCCAATCTATTAAAAAGCTGCTTCTTTTAATTTTTTCGTTTAAATAAAACACGAGAATATAACCAACAGAGAAAGAAAAGATTTTTCAGTTTTGTTATTGTTTTTGTTTAGAATCAATGGAGACCACAAAACACATCAAATGTTATAGCCTTGTTTTTTGGTTGCTGTTCCTCAGCACTGTTCTATTTGTGTACAACTTGGAAAAGTTTTATTGTAAAATGTAATAAAGATGTTCCTTTTTAAATAAAAAGAAATGGACTATTGTGAGGAAAAACCATAGGACAAATACTGGAAACTTCTGCATTCAGATATATCAACCAGGCCATATAATAGGAAAACTATAAAGATAAAATTACCTTTTCATCATCCTCAGTAAAAAGTTCCCCACTTGAAGTCTTGTTGATGGCCTGAGCGACTCCAATGATCTCACCATCGCTGTTGCGAATGGGCATGCATAAAAGGGACTTGGTTTTGTAGCCCGTCAGCTTGTCAATTTCATCACTGAATCGGCGATCCTGCAAGCATAAGCACAGTAGATAAACAAAGACACACGGTAAACATGGCTGCTGAAAAGCAGCTCTTCCCTTCTGGTGTTTCCATGAGACAGGAGACCAGAACCTGTAATGGTTCTCCAGCAGTAATGACAAAACTTCAGGGGAGATTTCTGTTAAAACTACTGTAGACTAAAGGAGTTTATAAAGAAAACCTACTGTTCTATACAAATGACTGAACTTACCCTCAAACACATTTACTTTGTCATGCAAAAGATAGATTAACACAAAGTAGTATATAACTAGGAAGAGTAAAGAACTGTTAAAATTTACATTTTGGGGTAAAAAATAAATATCTGAAAGGTGTTCATATATATTTAGCATTTTTGCATCTAATCCACCGAACTCAACATGTCTGTGAAGACCAAAAAGAATAGTTCAAGAAGAAACCCTCAATGAATAAACGGGATAATGAAATCACTATTAAGGAACATAGAAGATACATCAGCCTTCAAGTTGTCAAGAAATTTAAAGTATGATTACCTAATAAAAGAATGTCCAAAACTCTGCATACCACAGAGGAAAAAAATATGTCACAGCTGCAAAACCCACCAACCACCTAAAGTGGTGACTCTGACCCACAGATTAGTTAAGAGAGTCTGTATGACTGCTATTAACTGGGTCTCTTTTTCTATGTGTAAATGTCAATGTGTGATTAGAAACCCACAAAAAAAACAAAAAAACCCTGACCACAGCATTCCTAAAACAACACATGTGAAATAGCAGCATCATGATGTAGTGTCCTTTCATTCAGAGCCATCAGAGCTGCAAAGCAACTAAACCAGTTTGCTCTCCAAAGCTACATAGAAATATTTCAAATTTGTTTGGATGGCCTAGTCAAAGTCTGGATTGTAGAAACTCTGGCTATTCATTAAAATTGTTAATAGATGATCTCCAGACAATCTGAGTATGAAATTTAGTGCAAAACAGACGAAATGGTGGTTTTATTCCAAAAAACATGCCTCTGGGCTCAGGTTTTTATTTGTAAAAGGGTTAAAAAGTTGGATATTTTACACTTTTTGTACTATTATATGTTGGTCTTTCACATAAAATGATGTTTTTGTCTCAGATGGCTCAGCTAAAAAGTAAGAACAAGAGACTGGAAGTAGATGGACATTCTGCTTCTCTCAGTCTCTAAGTTACACATCACAATAAATGAGCAGGCACCTGATAGGCGTCAGGGATGTTCACTGTCTCTCCATGCTCAGCCACATAACCAATGATTCCTTTCCCCCATGGAACCTGAACTTCATCTGAGTTCATGGAGGGTAAAACGGTGGTCCCTGCGTGCACGTCAAAGAATTTAGACACCAGCGTTTTCTTGTTGCCAGTTCCTTCCACTAAAAACAAGGAGCACCGGTCTGCATCCACCATGATACAAACAAACACCAGGATTTTGTAGCTGAGGCTGGTCAGGTCCAGGTCGTTGGATATGTCTTTCACCAGTTCCAAGAAGAACTCTCTCTCGCTGTGCTCTTTGAGGCGGTATTTAAAATCCACAGCCGTGGCCGGGTACTGGGGGATGTTGACTCTGGACTCCAGCAGCGCGCTCAGGATGTGCGCGGTGGTCGGTGGCAGGGAGCTCGCCTTCCTCAGCAGAGCTCTCCTCCTCATGCTGGTCAGAGGCTCCTGCGCCCTGGTGTTGACGTGCTCATCGTAGGTCCTATTCACGTTGATGGCTTTAGACCTGGCGAAAGTTTTGCGCAGCTCTTTCTGAGACGCTCTCCTCTGCAGACCGTCGCACTTGCTCGCCCAGCTGTCCTTACACGCGCCGCGCTTCTCCTCGGCGGCGGCTGCGGGCGCAGCGGTCGCCGGACTTTTGCTCGCCTGGTTCTTCTTCAACCATTTCTCCACCATGCTGTAATTTCCTTTCCTGTTTAGGTAGTCCTCGAACAGGTCGGGGTGCGAGTCCAGGAAACTTTCTACGTCAGAGAACAGCATATTCGACACTGCCATGTCCGCGCTTCGGATGGTCCTCAGTGAACCAAAGCCATGAAACTGCGCACATTAATACCATCTATAAGGATTTACCAGACCAGGTTAAGAAGGCAGAACCGTGCAGATGCAACAACTTCCACGATGCGCATAAAAGGAAAAAAAAGAAAACCTCTTGCGCTGCAAATCCAGGTCCTTCTCTGTGCGGAGAGGAATGGAGAGTCCGTTTTTGCGCACCTGCGTCTTTCTCCACATCGCTCACCTAATTGGGGTTTATTCACGCAAACTTAGTGGTGGGAAAAGTGAAAGTAGTGAGAGCACAGCCCCGATATTTCGCACTCCCATGGTTTGTGTCCTCTTGTGCGGATGACGCGGGCTGTGGTTGGCTGATGCTCTCTTCGTCACAGTCAGGGAGCTCAGGGTGGCTTCAGCAATAAGGCTCCTGGCCGTTTGAACCACTGGCCCTCCCCTTACAAGTATTATTATTATTTATTATTTTAAAATACATTTAAAACGCATATTAGATAGATAGATAGATAGATAGATAGATAGATAGATAGATAGATAGATAGATAGATAGATAGATAGATAGATAGATAGATAGATAGATAGATAGATAGATAGATAGATAGATAGATAGATAGATAGAAATGAATGAAAACTGTGTAATAGATCATCTCTTTCATAAATCCCAAACTTTCACACTTCTCCTATCTGCAGTGCTCCATTTCATTAAGTTATGTAACAGCGACGTTTATTGGCTGAGGGACTACGTCAGAAAATCTAATTTATTACCGCTGAAACAATCATATGCAGTGGCGTGCTTTGAACGCCAGGGGGCGAAATACTCCAGCTGTGGAAACACAGTGGCTCTATGAGATTCTCTGGATTTCTGTTTTAGTAATTTGGAGCAAACTATTGAACTTATACTTCACTAGATTTGGATTTATTAAGCTGAAATAGCTTTGATTTGTTATCTGTTCCTAAGATTTACTTTATCAAACAGAAAATAATTAAAAATAAACAGAGATAAATAGATCCAACTAATTTTCCCATTTATGTTTTTTTTTCCTGTTAAGCACTATGATTGAGCTTGAATGTAAACGTTATGTTAATAAATGTTCCTCACCTTTCCAAACTCTAAAATGCTTTTAATCTGGAAATGTTGACCTAAAAATTGAGACCAGGCGATGCACAGTAGAAACACTGAACTTTTGCATGAATTACTGCAGTGTGATGAGTGTGGAGGTGATCAGTCTGCTGCATTGCTGAGGTGATAAAACGCTTATTTAATTGCTCCTTCTGTTTGTCTGTATTGTTGACTCTGGTGATTCTCATCTCCCACTTTACAATCATCCAAATCACCAGTTCAGGCCATTCATCTGACCAGCCAAGCGAAGTGAAATCCTGGCTATTAAAGCAATCCTTTATGCAGTGTGGAAATGTACCACTGGAAAATGAGATCAACTCAGCAGTACTTATTTCCAGACAAACATTTCATATCTTAACTCAACAGTTTGAACAACTAAGCAAAACGTCTGCTCCATTTTGTTCGTAAACTAAAGGTGAATTACTTCTGGCTGTTCAGGAAGCAGCAATTGTTGCACTCTATGTCCTCAGCTTGTTTTCTGCAGCTGACGTTTCCTAAAACTGTAACAGCCTTGGCTCCCCAATGTAAATTGAACATTTTTTCCATTTCATGGTTAGATGAATCATTCTGAAGCATTTCCCTTTATTAGCTGCAACCATTTGTGGCTTAACCTTCTGCGTGAGAAATGTTGACAATTTGCTGGACATTTGGCAAGTCAGAGGTCTTCCTCATAATCAAGTCAGCAAACTAATCTCTGTTAGAAATGTGATTAAATAGCTTTTCTCAGCTTTTAAACATTCACATAAAACCAGAATAACACTTGTAATAGTTGAGTTTTAAAAATGTCCTGAATAAAACTTTATATTAAATGCAGTGGACCCAGATGGTAAGTAAGACCCAAATTAAATTTGACTTTAATATTACACCCAGTTTGCTAATGCAAAGATCATATAAATGTATTATTTCAACCAAATGAACTTGAATTCAGTTTTGGTCATAAAATCCTGCTTTAGAAGAGATGCTTAATTTTGTGGAATGAATAAAATAAGACTCTCTCCGGGTACTCCAGCTTCCTCCCAGGCTTAAAACGTGACTGTTAGGTTAATTGGCTTCTCTAAATTCTCCTTAGGTGCGAGTGAATGGTTGGTTGTCTCCGTGTGTCGCCCTGCGACCCGTCCAGGGTGGACCGCCTCTCGCCCGTAGAGAGCTTGATAGGCATCAGCACCCCTCCCGACTCCAGCAGGGATCAAGTGTGAGGGAAAATGGATGGAATATACAATAAGATCTAATTACAAGAAAGTTCTTAGTACTTTTAACATCTTTACTTAAAAGTATTATAGTTTCACCTTCAGTTGAAGAAAACTTTGTGATTTGAAAAACAAAGAGGCTAAAAGTGTTTTAGTGTCAGTTTTATTTTGCTCAAGTAAATTACAAAAAATGAGAATTACTAAAAATCTGAAGTAGCAAAAAGGTCCAACTAATTACCTGAATTTCGACTTAACAGTATTTCACATTTTATTATTCTTTACATTAGAAAAATATATCTTTTCATAGCAGGAAGTTTTGTTTTACAATCAAAATGGGATAAATAGACATCACAATTTCATACAGTTTCAACAAATGTGACGATTTAATCAAATTCAGTTTAGCTGGTTCCTACTTTGCTTTAGTCTGGAATGAAAACCTCTTAGTGGTTTATTTGAAGACTCAAAGATGGATAAAGTAGCGCAGAGGAAGCTCTGTTTATGAAGTGGCCGATTTAAGATATGAGATAAGGTCGGCACGCTCGTTCTTCTTTTTGATGCCAGCAAAGATCATCTTTGTCCCAGGAATGTACTTCTTTGGATTCTCCAGATATACATTTAGGGTCTCCTCATTCCATGTAATGCCTGAAATCACAGAAAAAGAGCAAAATAAGTTAAATAAAGAGGTTAAACAGCATGATTCCAGAAAAAAAAAAAGGTTCCTCCCATGTGAAGTAGTTACCTTTAGTTTTGTTCGCATCTGTGTAAGAGTAGCCAGGTGCCTGGCCTGTTTGGCGTCCAAAAAGGCCCCATAGATTGGGTCCGACTTTATGCTTCCCACCGTTTTCTACAGTGTGACACTGGGCACACTTCTGGACAAAGGTCTTCTTTCCCTTTTCAATGTCTCCCCCAGTCATAGTTTCTAGAAAGGAAGAAAATGCATTCATTTAACAAACTCTCTAAAGGCCACTAGGGGGCGACATCCCACCTGTTACAAAACTACTCGATTTGAAAGAAAGAAACTGATAAAAATCCGCAGAATATGAAACCAAAATGGTGACTTTAAATTTTCCAGTATACTTGACCTTCAGATTGTTTACTCACAGCAGAAACTACTTTTATGTGAGAAAAAAAAAAAAATTTCCGTTTTTTTTAAATCCTACTTTTTTATTTTTTAAATGATTAAAACGTCTAAGTTTCACTACAATCTTCTTTAGAAAAAAATATAAAAATGTTTAAAACAACATTTATACCAAGGACAGCCCTCTCTACCGGCACTAGGCCACGTTGTGAGAGGGAGGAAGTAACAAACCCAGATCTAAGTCAAATTTTTAGTCCAAAACTCGACACCAACAACTTTCACTCCCCAAATTTCTAATGATCGTCTTCTTACCTTTCGTAAGTTTTGCTGAGCCAAATAAGAGAGCTGTGACAACAACCTCTAACTTCCCCGCTTTTGTCCTTCTACCGGCTCCGTCGGCTGCGTAGTATAGTAGAAATAACGTGCTTCCTTCCTTAAACTTAGTCGGATGATACGTCATCAGTCAGCTGACATTTCATCATCTGTTCCAGGCAATGTCAAAAGAACAAGGTCAAACTGTTAGAAGTCATGTAAAATCACTTCCCTTAACCACTGCTATCCAAGAAACACCTAGGCAAATACGTCACAGCCAAAAAACTTTTTAGTGAAACAAGAAAGAAAGAAAGAAATCTATAGACAAATTGATCTCAATTAATACATTCAAAATAAAAAATATTTTTTAGATTACCTTTATGACTACAGATATTTCGAAAAACATAAATTTTTGAAAGTATATTTTAACATCACCCTTGCACTCTGGCAGTTGCTGAGGCAAAACTTGGTCCTGTAAGGAGTTTGGACAGTCCATGGAGAACGACTATCGGCTGGCATCAAAGCAATTATGGCAAACTCCGGAAAAGCTACTATGAGAAAAAGAAGAGAGAGCATAATGTGAGATTGAGCTAACAGATTCTGCAGAGTGGGAGAATAGACATAGATTAACACAGTATTATAAAAAAGGGGTCCCTATGTCCTCCAGCAGTCTAAGCCTATAGCAGCATAACTATAGAGATAGCTCAGGATAACTTGAGCCACTCTAACTATAAGCTTTATCAAAAAGGAAAGTTTTAAGCCTACTCTTAAAAGTAGACAGGGTGTCTGCCTCACAGACTAAAACTGGTAGTTGGTTCCACAGGAGAGGAGCCTGATAACTAAAAGATCTGCCTCCCATTCTACTTTTAGAAACTCTAGGAACCACTAGTAAACCAGCAGATTGAGAGCGAAGTTCTTTGTTAGGAACATAAGGAAAATGGAGCTTGGCCATTCAAGGCTTTATATGTGAGAAAGAAGATTTTAAATTATACTCTATACTTCACAGGAAGCCACTGGAAATCATGTGGCAAGGTAGGGAAGCAAGAATTTTTTTGAATGTCTGAAATTTCATGATTACCGAGGCTGAATGTAAGGATATGACGCGGTCTGCTCGTGAGCTTTTTATTAGAGAACCAAGCCTCAAACTGTGTCGAGCCCAATGGTGAACTAGTACTAGTTTAGCGTGGTTCGGCAGTGTCTGGCACAGTCAGGTTAAGTTTGCGTGCCATTTATACTCAACAGTTATCTCGGTTTCCGTGCTCAGACCTCTCTTGTCACAGTTTCAAAAGGGTAGTGGAAATGTGGCATAAGTAATGAATGGTGGTGTCATGTGACTGGCATGCTTCCTCAGTACTTGACCCCAGATGAGACTCAAGCCCACAATCCCTGGCTGAGGAGGCCAATGCCTCATCCATAAAGGACTGGACAGTGACAGAAGGTGGTCCACCTGATATATTTATTTGAAGAACCACTCTGCTACAACTTCTACACCACCTGTAAAGACCTCCAGCATAAAAATGCCACAAAAAATAAGGGCAGCTATTTTAATAATTATTTCTTATTGAAAAACAAACCAAAAAAGAACCAAAAAAACTGAGTGTCTTGATTCTCCTCACATTTAAATCATGGAATAGGGGTTTAAGGTTCAATCTATTACCACAATTAAACTACAACTCTGATTTGAGAACTCATC